GCTAAAAGTCAGGCACATCCTAACTGCTTTGCACAGATTATCTCAATTTTTACAACAACCCCTAAGAAGAGTACAATCGTCCATCCATTTTATAAAAGAGGAAACTGAGACACAAAATACTGGTAGAAGAACAAATTAGAAATGGAGAAAGGAGATGGCTAATTCTCCGCCAAAATTTGGTGTTAATGCTCCCCCTCCACCGTGTAGATTTGTTGCTGGGATGTGAACACTTGCGCCAATAAAACGGGAACAGATGTAATGTGACACTAAAACCTAGGGGTGCCCTTACCACCCTCTCTTTCTGCTCCCTCTCCTGACTGGGTGTTGACACCAAGGCTATCTTGGAAGCGACGTACTAGAGATGGCAGAGGCTTTTCAAGTCTGGATCTCTGAGTGACACTGTGGAGTGGACTTCCTGTGCCCCATTTCACCCCCCACTCCCTAACCTGCAAGGCTGACCTTGGGCTGTTGCACAGGTGGGAAATAAATTTTTATTTTGGTTAAGCCACAAAAATTTGGGAGTATCTTCGTTATGGCAATAATATAGAGTGGGTACCTCGCTATAACTAATTAAAAATGAGTGGGAAGTAAACACAATAAATTAAAATTGGACATGTTGAGGTTGAAATCTTGTGGGACAACCAAATGAAGATGGCTAACAGGCACACAGTGAGAGTTTGTAGGGACACATAGAGTCATCACCCACATATGCAATGTCACCTGCGTGCACTTGGTCTTAAGTACATAAATAACAGAGAGAGGAGAAAGAATCACTTAGCTTTTGCCTTGCTCTGTTTTGTCCCATGGCTGTAGGCTCAGAACTGACCAGGAAGTGGGAGGTGTGTGAACCTGCTCTTCTTCCAAGTGGTCTCATTTCCCTTGTACGTCCTTACAATACGAACATCTCAACACTCAGTATAATTTTGATCTTTAAAGAAAACATTTTTCCACACGATGGCTACAAATTTAAGCCACTAGTTCACCTCTTTTTCAACTAAAAAACAAAAAACAAAAACAAAAAAAAACAGTGAACGAGTCTCAGGTTGGCAAAATGCTGTTTTTGTCTCAGACCCTGACCTCAGAACACAACCCCGCCCAAGCTGTGACCCTGCTGCGCGTGGGTTTGGGAAATTCCTGTTTTCAACATGGCAGCTGGTGTCGTGGAACAGAATTGGGTCTCCCGGGGGAGATAAGTAGTGAGATGGGGAGAGGACCAAAGATGGGAGCCCAGGAACACCAGCGTCTGGGAGGCGGGTGGGAAGGAGCTGTCGTGAGACCAGGAGCAGAAGGGGAAAGGGAAGTAGAAGGAGGACCAGGAGTAATGAGGGCCCCCAAAGTCAAGGGAGAACAGGATGCAGAGCAGCGAATAATTGCTTGAGGGGAGGGTGGGGAAAGGCAAAGAAAAGGGTCACTGGGCCTGACAGGCATTCCAAAGTCTCCCTCTCCGTAAAGCAGAATCGACAGAGAGTTGAGCACCTAGGTCACACGGATCCCCCTCCTCAGAGAACCGCTGCTATGACCTGTGCTGGCCGATGATCTGAGGACCGTCCGGGGAGCGGCCCCACCAAACCCTTGCGTTTGCCTGTTGAAAAGGTGTTGAAGATGTTTGTTCGTATATTACACGGCCTCGTCCTAAAGATGACCGTCAGGAGTTCCCAACGGTCTCTGGTCTTACTCGAGTAATTGTGTTTCTCCTCAACAACTGGCCTTTTCTCTTGTGAGTAACTTATCAGGTTTCCCTTTTCTACCAGATTCTTCTCTGGTTCTCTTTTTTGTCCCTGCGCTTGCTCGTATTTAAGATCTGGGCCATGCGATTTTCTATTATGCATTTTTAGAAACAGTCCGAAATGTATTCTGTTAAAAGGAAAGATACAAATAATTTTTCTGGGGGGTGTTGAATAATTTTGTATTATTATAAATATAATTTATAGTAATAATTTATAAATTAATCATGATTATATATGAATGTAACACCTCTCCAGTCTCCTTACATTCTCGTGAAACTTGCTCTTGTGTACCTTTCTCAACGCCAGGGCTCAAGACAACAGCTAACATTGACTGAGCCCTGACTATGGGCGTGGGTGTTCCACGTGCTTTATACGTATGGATTCATTTAGTCATCCCGACAACTCCATTTGTGTCTACTTTCCCAATGAGGAAACTGAGGTGCACAAAGGTTAAATAACATCACCATAGCCACATGAATAGTAAGTGATGTACCTAAGGTTAAAATCCCAATTGTCTGGCTCCAGAGTCTGGTGCTTTCCCAGCCCGGTGGAATAATAATTCCAACTCGCTATATGTTCAGTGAAAACTCTTGGACAAAATTGCTTAAATATTTCGTTTTTTTGAGGCTTTGTAGGACGTTGGCAAGAAGAGCTGGGGATGGAGACGAAGTAGCTAGATTAAAATTTCTTTCAAGTAATGAGACAAGCAGAATGTAGCTTAAAAAAAGTCTAAATGGAAGTCTTAAAGAATACAGATCTCTTTACTAAAATAAGAAGTAATTTTAATTAGACTAAGCTTCCTCCCTCATTTTCAAACAGTCTCATTCCTCTTCTTGGGGTGCTAATTGTCTATACCTTTCATGTGTCCTATCATAATTTTAACTTTTTGGAAGCAGCTGATGAAACAGATATGGTCTATGAGAAAAGCAGGATTTATATAATAAACAGGTGATGTCAAGTGCTCCTACTATTTATCAACTTATTAAAGTGAGAAAAAAAAGGTCTAATTGGCATCGGAATATTGAAAAAATAAGGAAATGATTCAGGAACTTTGAGCTTCTCATCCTTTATTTCTCCTCTGAAGGTAGCTAACAAGATTATAGTTTTAATCCCTGGTCATGCTTTGCCACTGTGCTATCTTTAGTATAGGCTTATGGATATTAATAATATTTTTCCTTAATAAGTATGATGGGAAGCTAATGCTATTCCTTCATCTCAAATATCCTGCTCACTCCTTGTCATTCAGTGCCCAGGCAGCATCCCGCCCTCCACAAGGCTGCTCCCTACACTGGCTCATGCGAAATGACTTCCTTCTAAATTCCTGCAACACTCTCATTGGCATCACTTCTATGAATTCAGCACTTAACACTTGACATTGTCATTCATATGTGTGTATACATATATGTGTATATATATAATGCCTGATATATATATGCATATGTCTAATGCCCGATTACATATGTGCACATATAATATATCCAATGTCTGATTATATATACATACATATAATGTTTGATATATACATACACATACAGTATCTCTAATGCCTGATTATATGTACACATATAACATATCCAATGTCTGATTATATATATATACATATCTATAATACCTGATACATATATATATATATATATGCACATATACTATGTCTAATGCCTGGTGTATGTATATACATATATAATATACTTAGTGTCTGACATATACATATATAACATATCTAATACCTGATATATATCATGTCATATATATATATCATATAAGATTTAAGTTCCTTTCAAGCAGGAACTGAGTCTGTTTATTTTTACTCCATCACCGAGTACAATGTTAGGGCACCAGGAATGTTTGCTAGATTCGTGTGTTCAGGAGAGAGCAGGGGAATGAATGAATAAATGGAGAAGGGAGTTGGAAGGCCTGTCGGATTGACCAATCCCGACTTCGCTTAGGGCCACGTTTCTCTGAGAGAAGTCTTCCATCTTCTGCACCGAAATCACCTGAAATGATTGCTTAAATGCAAACCCCTGGGCTCCCCACATCTCTTGAGTCGGAATGTCCAGAGTTGGGCCTAGGAATTGGCATCTTAGCAAGCACCTCACGTGATTCTTTAACACACAAATTTAAGAGCCACTGGCTTATCAGAGTATGTTTAGAAGATACTGTTGAATGATTAATTAGAATAATGTAGATTCAACACCACGCCCCTCCATAGATTTTATAATTCAGCTCAAACTTGTAAGGGCATACTCTTTTTGTAAGAAATCAACTCTCCTGGAAGAAAAGAACTTTCAGTTTTGGGGACCCAATGTTGGAAGTTACTTGGAATCGAGGTAAATTGCAAAGCCCGTAATATTTGTATATTATTATGCACTACATACACTTCCTGCAGCATCATTTCACTCAGGAGTTTTATGACATGCAGGAAACCCTGAGAGAAGCAGCACTCTTGGGGACAAACCACGGGAGCTTCTCAGCCTTGTACTCGATGGTCGTCTCTGAGCACTCATGGGAATATCTCACCAATGCTCGCCTTCGGTGACACAGGACACAGACAGGGAACCTTTTCCAAACTAGGTCGATGGTCCTGCTCTGGAAGCAGCTTCTAAACTGAGCAATAAACCCTTGGACTGCAACAGGAAGAACCCTCTCTTCTACCCTCCACTAGCAGATGCAGACTCGTTCTTTTAATGGGAGGTTTTTAGACTAACAAAGAGACAGTGGCTCCGATAGGTCTACCATCCCCACTAATTCTGTTTTCTTTTCTCCTCCACAGCAGGGCCCTTCCCCTTTAAGTAAGTAAAGCTTTGACTCCGCCTCCCCGACAGGCACTGCCTGTGGTTCAGATCATCCCCAGTCCTGGTGGGCACTGAGAGTCCGTTGCCTTGAAGAATTCCACTGAGTTGGTTCTAGACGATCTGGTGTCTTTTTTCCTGATCCTCCATTTACATAATATTCATTGAAATTCAAGTTACCTGTTATGAGGACTGCGAGAAATAGAGGAATAGGATCCCTTTTTTCAGAAGTTTCCATATTAATACTTTTAGACCAAGTTCCTAGCCTCGTGCTCATTTGAGTTCTCTCTCTCTCATCTTCTTCAGCATTTTTATTCTCTCTATAGGTTTTTCTACTTTACTTTTTTTGAAGTATTTTTCACTTCTATTCTTTATTGTTTAATCTACACACACACACACACACACACACACACACACACACACGAGTTCCTTGTGCCAGCTCTGTGTCTGGGTGTATTTTTACCTGTGTCTGTGTTTGACCTACCTTTCCATTATGGCACAGTATACCACGCTCCAGGATAGGCAACCATTTTCTTGTCTGCTTCTTATTTTGATCCACTTGTCACACTAAAATGGAGCAAAAGAAAGAGTCTCAGGCAATTTGAGATCTTTGCTTCAGATGCCGGCCTTATGTAAATACATTTCACAGGTTTGAAAGAGCCTCTGCTACGACCAGTCCTTTGGCACCATCTGCTGGAAACAAAGCATCACAGGCTGGGAAAACTGAATCTGATTCAATGAGCATCAGGGCTGCACACCTGGAACTATTCTGAACAAATTGTTTCTTGCTAGAACAATACTTTATATCCACTTATAACAAATCTCTCCAACTTCTAATAAATATCTCAGAAGCTAAGGAGTCTTTCCTGCTACTTCCTTCCCATTTCCTTTGCAGTTTCATAAAGTACTTTTGTTTTTTTTAGTCAAGCAAGTCATGAGATTTAAGATGCCCTGTGACAACAAGCAAAAACAGAAGCTACATTTTGTTTGTCGTTGTAACTAGCATCCAGCTTAGCTACTAGAGCTCTGATTTTGTTTTTGTTTGTTTTGTTTTTGTGGCTTTTTGAATGAAAAAAAAATAAGCAATCAATATCTGAGGTGGGGAAATATGACACGCAGATGTCTTTAAAGAAAGATTTTTCTAGACTTCCCAGTCTGGGTAGGTAATGATTAATAAACTCTGAATTAAGACCCCCTCTGCACCTCTAAAATATCAAATCTGTTCAGAGTAAGGGGGAAGACACTAAAAAGAAAAACAAATCAATACCAAACTCCTGCAGGTGACAGGAAGGAATAAGAATTTCATATTATAGGTTCTCCATGAAACCTAGCCTAGAACTGAAGAAATATTAGAGTATTTCAATATTCTTAAAATTGATCATTAAAATGTTTGCCCAGTATGATGGTTAATTTTATGTGTCAACTTGGCTAGGACAGGACACCCAATCGTTTGGTCACACACCAGTCTAGAAGTGTATTTTAGATGTGATTAATATTCAAATCAGTACGTTTGAGTAAAGCTGGCTACCCTCCGTAATGTGGTGGGCCTCATCCAATCAGTTTAAGGCCTTAAGAGCAAAGACTGAAGTTCCCCAAAGTGAAAGGAATTCTCTTAAAGACTGAAGCATTAAAACTCTGCCTGTTTCCAGTCTGCTGCCCTGTGAAATTCAGATTCAAGACTGCAACACCAAGTCTCACCTGACTTTCCAGCCTGCCGGCCTACTCGGCAGATTGCAGAAAGAAAGAAAAGAAAGGAAAAAAAGAAAGGAAGGAAGGAAGGAAGGAAGGAAGGAAGGAAGGAAGGAAGGAAGGAAGGAAGGAAGGAAGGAAGGAAGGAAGGAAAGGACAGACACACACACAGACACACACACAGACAGTCTCCTATTGTTTTTTTCCCCCTGGAGAACCCTGACTAATGTACCCAGTACTGCACTTTAAAATGCTTACTCTCCAAAACTGGATCTCAAACTCTGACACGCATTCGGATACATACCGTTCGAATCACTGTCTCTGAGTGCAGCCAGTGCATCGGTATAAGTAGTAAGGTCTACAGTTGGTACACACAAGTGGTACACTCAGTTAGAACTGCGTAAGGTGCATCATACCAGACTTGATAAAGAGCTTTTGGAGGCACATTATATGCTTCTTATGTATAGCCCAGAAAAGGGAGAAGGAACTAACAATTTACATTTACTACCATTTAATAAACACCTCCATGTACAAGGTAGTGGACTAGGCTCTTCCAAGGATACTATCTTACATCGCATCGAATCCTCTTAATATTACAGAATAGACCAGGTTACCTCAGCAAGTGACCTGCTCAGGACACCTTTTCGTCTGTTCATCATATATTTGCTGAGCAGCTGCCATGGGTCAGGCACTTGGGGTGGCCCTGGGCATAGAAAAGCTAAAACGCTAGAAATAACCAATAAGTGAACAAGTGAACAAGAGACGAATAACCCAGAGGGCATGCGAAACGCTGTGAAAGCACTGAGCAGGATGAAGCGACAGGGGAACCGTGGATGAACCCACCCCTACGTTAGGAAAGCCAGAGAAGGTGAAGTGCAAGCTCGCGGAGACCTGAAAGGTCAAATAAAGAAGGAAGGTGGGTGGGGTCTGGCGGCACCCCGGGCACGGCTGGAGGGGGCACCATCAGAACTGCTTTGGTATAGCTACCCCGCACCTGCCTGTGCGACACCCTGATGGCAGCATCCCAAAGAGACAGGTGGGCATTCCAGGAGGAAACTCAAGAAGGGGTCTGACATGGGGAAGTAAAGTTGGGAGTCATCAACGGAGAGATGGGATTTCAAGACAAGGGGATGATGGGGTCACCTGGAGAGAGACAGCGGGGAGAGCCCCGAACCGAGACCCAAGGGCTCTGGCTGTTAGAGGTCATTCGGAGGAGGATCTCAAGGAAGCCACGCAGGAGGGGCTGCTGAGGAAGGCTGGTGGAGAACGTGGAGAGACAGGTGTTGCAAAGCCCAGCGAGCGCGGCAGCCTAGCACCCAGTCTGGTGTCTGGTCGGCGGCTCGCTGGGCTCTCTGCACCGGTCTGGTGCGTCTGGAGAGCGAATCGGGACGCGTTGCACTCACACCGCACTGCGACCATCACACTGATGTACAATGGCTCCGCTGAGCCTTATGATTTTGTTTTCCTTTTTTATAACAACAGAAATTTATTTTCGCACAGTTCTGGAGGCCGGAAGTGTGAAATCGAGATGTTGGCAGGGCCACGCTCCTTCTTGAAGGCTCTGGGGGAGAATCGTTCCTTGCCTCTGTCACCTTTTGATGGTTGCCAGCAATCCTTGCCAGTCCTTGGGGTTGAGCTACATCACTGCAACTTCCGCCTCCATCTTCACTTCACCATCATCTCTGCGTGCAGTGTGTCTTCACATCTCCCTCTCCTTACATGGACACCGGTCACCCTAATTCACTATAAAAGCTCCTCTTAATTTGATGACATCTGCAAAGACCTTATTTCTAAATAAGGCCACACTCACAGGTATCAGGGGTTAGGGTTTCAACATATCTGGGGTGGGGCACACAGTGCAGCCCACTACAGAGCGAATGTTAGTTTTCTATTTCACAGTTTCTGTGCGTCAGGAGGTCAGGCATACGTTGGCTCAGGGTGTCGCCGGGCTGGAATCTAGGGCTGTGGTTCTCATCTGAAGCTCAGGGTCCTTTTCCAAGTTTGCTGGTTGTTGGTGTAATTGAATTCCTTGTGGTTGTAGGGCCGAGGTCCCAGTGTTTCTGTCTGTCTGGTCAGGGGTCAGCTGCATCTTCAAAGTCGGCAGAAGCACTTTACTCGGATGCTTCACCTTCTTTAAAGGCTCATCTGGTTAAGGCGGGCCCATCCAGGAATCTGTTTTGATTAGCTCAAAATCAACTGAGGGGTAATCTAATCACAGGAGTGATTTCTCATCGTATTTCCACATTCCACCCACACTCAAGGGGAGGGGATTCTGCAAGGGCTGTGAGTCATTTGGAAGTCATCTTAGAATGCTGCCTACCACGGGGGTAAGCTTCTCTTAACCCCAGGAAGATTTAGAATTAAAACATAACTCTTCAAGAGTTACGTGTTTTGATATATATATATTTTTTTTTTGCATTAAGGCGTCTGTGCAGATTTGATATCTATGTAGTTGCAATATTTAAGAAAATTTGCCTAATTGGACTAACAAACTAGCCTTATAATTCCCATCTAAAATCATAATCGTACAATGGATTTAGGCATTAAGTTAAAACATTCTAGCATCTTCAATATGAAGAGAATTTAAGCAGGTTCCTTTTTCACAATTGTTGTACCAGGACCCCACACCCGTGCTCTTTGTACGGCTGGGCTTTTCCGAGTGGAAAGGATACCACTTGTGACCTCCTCCATCTGCTTAGAGAAATCTATAATCTTCACTGAGGTTGTAGCTAACTTCCTCAGCCTTGATTAGAGTCTTAATTTTTAATGCTGTCTTTATCCCAACATCTGGTACCTATTTCCTGGCCCTAGTCTGAGAGAGTGGGGCACGGTGGGGAGTGTTCATGGAAGGCTTTCTTAAGGATGTTTTATCTGAAACTTGACAGATGAGTCAATGTAAGCCAGGCAGGAAAAATGGGGACGAGCATTTCGCTGACGGATTTGACTGCTCCAAGCTCCAGCATTGGGGTAGCAGCCAGAAAGGTGCCAGGGACACACGGGGAGGAACGGAAGCTTCTGGCTTCAGGGCAAGGGCCAGAGGGGCAGTTTTCTGCACCAGCAGAAGCCATTACTCACCCACTGAGCCCTCCCCCCACCTTGCATCCAGACAAAGGCGAGCACCACATCTGGGCCTCCTCCGACCTTGATCCTTATGGTTTCAGCAAGGGAGGTGTTATCTGTTTTTCAGATGAGGATACTGATGCTCTGAGAAGTGAAGTAATTATTAAATCAAGGAGCCAGGACTTGAGCCCAAGTCTCAAGACTATTGGCTGAGTATCTTTCCTGCTTAGTTGCCAAACCCCTAAAGATCATTTTTACAGCTCCTTTATCATCTTCAAAAAGATTGTCTTTTTCAAAAAAGCACGTATTTTTGCATGCATGTATTGCATGAAACAGTGTGCAAAACAGTTACTCAACTGTTGCAAATTACTGATGAAAATGTTATCTGTGACAAACGGAGAAAGAAGAGGAGCCCATTTGAATGTCAGAGATCTGGACCTTGGGGAACTAGGAAAGAAAATAGGGGTTTTTCTCCCCCCAAAATTATATGCATGTTATTCTTCTTGACCTAAAATCTGCCAGTCAGAGCTCCCAAAGTTGTGACGTTAGGAAGACGAATGGTCAGCTGCCGAAAGATCTGGGGAAGTTTCCAGCCTCAGGGCAGAAGGATAAGCAAGGGCGCGACCGGCCTGAAACTTAGTCAAAGGGACACTGAAAGCAGGAAAACCACACTCAAAACCATCTCGCAGTCTTGGAACTGTCCCCTCCCAGGACAGGAACAGACAGATGACAGCCATAGGGGGGGGATGGGTAGGCGGGGCAGAGGAAGCTCCCTTTGGAGGGACTTTGAAGTCCCCTGAGCAGGAAGAGACAGAGTC